ATAATATATTGAGTGTGTAGAGTGTATTGAGTATAATCTGTCGAGTGTGTAGGGTGTATTGAGGATAATCTGTAGAGTGTGTAGGGTGTATTGAGGATAATCTGTCAAGTGTGTAGAGTGTATTGAGGTTAATCTGTCGAGTGTGTAGAGTGTATTGAGGATAATCTGTTGAGTGTGTAGAGTGTATTGAGGATAATCTGTCGAGTGTGTAGGGTGTATTGAGGATAATCTGTCAAGTGTGTAGAGTGTATTTAGGACAATCTGTCGAGTGTGTAGAGTGTATTGAGGATAATCTGTCGAGTGTGTAGAGTGTATTGAGGACAATCTGTCGAGTATGTAGAGTGTATTGAGGATAATCTGTCAAGTGTGTAGAGTGTATTGAGGATAATCTGTCGAGTGTGTAGAGTGTATTGAGGATAATCTGTCGAGTGTGTAGAGTGTATTGAGGATAATCTGTCGAGTGTGTAGAGTGTATTGAGGATAATCTGTCGAGTGTGTAGAGTGTATTGAGGATAATCTGAGTGTGTAGATGTATTGAGTGTGTAGTGTGTATGTATTGAGGATAATCTGTGTGTAGTGTGTAGAGTGTATTGAGGATAATCTGTAGAGTGTGTAGAGTGTATTGAGGATAATCTGTCGAGTGTGTAGAGTGTATTGAGGATAATCTGTCGAGTGTGTAGAGTGTATTGAGGACAATCTGTCGAGTGTGTAGAGTGTATTGAGGACAATCTGTCGAGTGTGTAGAGTGTATTGAGGATAATCTGTCGAGTGTGTAGAGTGTATTGAGGATAATCTGTCCAGTGTGTAGAGTGTATTGAGGATAATCTGTCGAGTGTGTAGAGTGTATTGAGGATAATCTGTCGAGTGTGTAGAGTGTATTGAGGATAATCTGTCGAGTGTGTAGAGTGTGTAGAGTGTGAGTGTGTAGAGTGTATTGAGGATAATCTGTCGAGTGTGTAGAGTGTATTGAGGATAATCTGTCGAGTGTGTAGAGTGTATTGAGGATAATCTGTCGAGTGTGTAGGGTGTATTGAGGATAATCTGTCAAGTGTGTAGAGTGTATTGAGGATAATCTGTCGAGTGTGTAGAGTGTATTGAGGATAATCTGTCGAGTGTGTAGTGTGTAGAGTGTATTGAGGATAATGTGTGTGTAGTGTGTAGAGTGTATTGAGGATAATCTGTCGAGTGTGTAGGGTGTATTGAGGATAATATATAGAGTGTGTATAGTGTATTGAGGATGATCTGTCGAGTGTGTAGAGTGTAGAGTGTATTGAGGATGATCTGTCGAGTGTGTAGAGTGTATTGAGGATAATCTGTCGAATGTGTAGAGTGTATTGAGGATAATCTGTCGAGTGTGTAGAGTATATTAAGGATAATCTGTCGAGTGTGTATAGTGTGTAGAGTGTATTGAGGATAATCTGTCGAATGTGTAGAGTGTATTGAGGATAATCTGTTGAGTGTGTAGAGTGTATTGAGGATAATCTGTCGAGTGTGTAGAGTGTATTGAGGATAATCTGTCGAGTGTGTAGAGTATATTTAGGATAATCTGTCGAGTGTGTAGAGTGTATTGAGGATAATCTGTCGAGTGTGTAGAGTGTATTGAGGATAATCTGTAGAGTGTGTTGAGTGTATTGAGGATAATCTGTCGAGTGTGTAGAGTGTATTGAGGATAATCTGTCGAATGTGTAGAGTGTATTGAGGATAACCTGTTGAGTGTGTAGAGTGTATTGAGGATAATCTGTTGAGTGTGTAGAGTGTATTGAGGATAATCTGTCGAGTGTGTAGAGTGTGTAGAGTGTATTGAGGATAATCTGTCGATTGTTTAGAATGTATTGAGGATAATCTGTCGAGTTGTTGAGTGTGTAGAGTGTATTGAGGATAATCTGTCGAGTGTGTAGAGTGTATTGAGGATAATCTGTCGAGTGTGTAGAGTGTATTGAGGATAATCTGTTGAGTGTGTAGAGTGTATTGAGGATAATCTGTCGAGTGTGTAGAGTATATTTAGGATAATCTGTTGAGTGTGTAGAGTGTATTGAGGATGATCTGTCGAGTGTGTAGAGTGTATTGAGGATGATCTGTCGAGTGTGTATAGTGTGTAGAGTGTATTGAGGATAATCTGTCGAATGTGTAGAGTGTATTGAGGATAATCTGTTGAGTGTGTAGAGTGTATTGAGGATAATCTGTCGAGTGTGTAGAGTGTATTGAGGATAATCTGTCGAGTGTGTAGAGTGTATTGAGGATAATCTGTTGAGTGTGTAGAGTATATTTAGGATAATCTGTCGAGTGTGTAGAGTGTATTGAGGATAATCTGTCGAGTGTGTAGAGTGTATTGAGGATAATCTGTCCAGTGTGTAGAGTGTATTGAGGATAATCTGTCGAGTGTGTAGAGTGTATTGAGGATAATCTGTAGAGTGTGTAGAGTGTATTGAGGATAATCTGTCGAGTGTGTAGAGTGTATTGAGGATAATCTGTTGAGTGTGTAGAGTGTATTGAGGATAATCTGTCCAGTGTGTAGAGTGTATTGAGGATAATCTGTTGAGTGTGTAGAGTGTATTGAGGATGATCTGTCGAGTGTGTAGAGTGTATTGAGGATGATCTGTCGAGTGTGTATAGTGTGTAGAGTGTATTGAGGATAATCTGTCGAGTGTGTAGAGTGTGTAGAGTGTATTTAGGATAATCTGTCGATTGTTTAGAATGTATTGAGGATAATCTGTCGAGTTGTTGAGTGTGTAGAGTGTATTGAATTTGTTGAGTGTGTACTGTCTATTTAGGATAATCTGTCGAGTGTGTAGAGTGTATGAGGATAATCTGTCGAGTGTGTAGAGTGTATTGAGGATAGTGTGTAGAGTGTATCTGAGGATAATCTGTATTGAGGATAATCTGTTGTAGTGTGTAGAGTGTATTGAGGATAATCTGTTGAGTGTGTAGAGTGTATTGAGGATAATCTGTCGAGTGTGTAGAGTGTATTGAGGATAATCTGTTGAGTGTGAGGATAATCTGTTGAGTGTGTAGAGTGTATTGAGGATAATCTGTCGAGTGTGTAGAGTGTATTGAGGATAATCTGTTGAGTGTGTAGAGTGTATTGAGGATAATCTGTTGAGTGTGTAGAGTGTATTGAGGATAATCTGTTGAGTGTGTAGAGTGTATTGAGGATAATCTGTTGAGTGTGTAGAGTGTATTGAGGATAATCTGTCGAGTGTGTAGAGTGTATTGAGGATAATCTGTTGAGTGTGTAGAGTGTATTGAGGATAATCTGTTGAGTGTGTAGAGTGTATTGAGGATGATCTGTCGAGTGTGTAGAGTGTATTGAGGATGATCTGTCGAGTGTGTATAGTGTGTAGAGTGTATTGAGGATAATCTGTCGAATGTGTAGAGTGTATTGAGGATAATTAATCTGTTGAGTGTGTAGAGTGTATTGAGGATAATCTGTTGAGTGTGTAGAGTGTATTGAGGATGATCTGTCGAGTGTGTAGGGTGTATTGAGGATAATCTGTTGAGTGTGTAGAGTGTGTATTGAGGATAATCTGTCGAGTGTGTATTGAGGATAATCTGTCTAGTGTGTAGAGTGTATTGAGGATAATCTGTCGAGTGTGTAGAGTGTATTGAGGATAATCTGTCAAGTGTGTAGAGTGTATTGAGGATAATCTGTCGAGTGTGTAGAGTGTATTGAGGATAATCTGTCGAGTGTGTAGAGTGTATTGAGGATAATCTGTCAAGTGTGTAGAGTGTATTGAGGATAATCTGTCGAGTGTGTAGGGTGTATTGAGGATAATCTGTCAAGTGTTTAGAGTGTATTTAGGATAATCTGTCGAGTGTGTAGAGTGTATTGAGGATAATCTGTCAAGTGTGTAGAGTGTATTGAGGATAATCTGTCGAGTGTGTAGAGTGTATTGAGGTTAATCTGTCAAGTGTGTAGAGTGTATTGAGGATAATCTGTCGAGTGTGTAGGGTGTATTGAGGATAAAGTGTATTGAGGATAATCTGTCCCAGTGTGTAGAGTGTATTGAGGATAATCTGTCCCCCTGTAGAGTGTCTCTCTCTCTCTCTCTGTCTCTCTCTCTCTCTCTCTCTCTCTGTCTCTCTCTCTATTGAGGATAATCTCTCGAGTGTGTAGAGTGTATTGAGGTTATATCTGTCAAGTGTGTAGAGTGTATTGAGGATCGAGTGTGTAATGTGTTAATATATATATATATATATCCGAGGATAATCTGTCGAAGTGTGTAATCTCTCTCTGTATTACGAGGATAACTGTCAGTGTGTAGAGTGTATTGAGGACGTCTCTCTATAAATCTCTCTTTGACATTGTGTATACCAATAAATGTATTTAAACGTAATATCCAATCTGTTGTTTAATATACGTACAGATTAATTTGAAATTATAAGAGAGAAATATCAAATTGAAAATTAAACATTACTCGGCAACTTGATGATTAGTTTCTTTGAAACCAGATATTATGTATTGTTTACAAAACGTATCAATTGAATTTTCTTTAAAAATATACTTTAAAATAATTAATTTTAGTTAGTCTCGGTAACACATTAAGTTTAGTTAAAATTTTTATTTCTAAAGTTTTATTTAATCATATATCCAAAATCGTTTATGATCTCCATGTTATTTATTTGACTTATTTTTCAGGAGAATAACACTGCACTTATTGACACAAGGGTTGTTTATCCATTATTTCTTAACAAAGTATAATTTTATATAATTTTATCCTTTATGAACACGCATGAGTGATATTTGAGGTATGTTCTCCGGATCTCAAATTATGAACAGTTTAACTACATCGCAATGTACAAGTTTCCGTAGTATACATTCCAATATGGCTGAATAACGATTTAACAATGAGTACATCACACACCACAAACTCTCTTGTGTACCAGATACTTTACAAGCGCCTACAGTTAGCGGAATGCACTTCCCTTAACTAACTAAAAACCGACTTGTTTTCCGGTCTCAATTCCCCAACTCTATTGGCACAAATGTATGGAACACTTACCAAGTCTGAGAACCGTAGCGGCTCGCAGAAATGAAAAGCAGAAAATTATGAGGATACTTAGAATAAAAAATATCCTAAACACTGATTGGCTAAAACTTTCTATTAGTTTGGTATTACTATAGCAACAGGCCCAAGCACCGAATCACATGGCTGAAGTTGTGTACAAATTTGGACAAGGCATGCGTTAATGAAATCGGATAGCATTGGTGTAGGAGATGTTTTGGGATGCTAGAGATGTAGAAGCAGCTACCGGTGCTGCCCCCTACCTATGTAACTGATTCCTTGGTAACCGTTCTGCCTCCACATCAACCCTCGGCTCGTCCCAGTCTTTCTACGGCAGTGTGTGAGTGTACGCTTGGTGGTCGGAAGTAAAGCACAAGGGGATTTCTGTGTCTGCACCAACACATTTCCTCTAGTGTTCGCTGTCTGCTTCAGGGGGATACCACCGTATTGTATAAAAGGAAGGCTACCTCGTCCTTCAGTAGTTACAAAAGTCCGGCTCCAGAACCGCCTTGCTATTTAGTTCATACCTCACTTGAGAAATTTAGTAAAACAAACCTGCCAAAATGTCTGATCGTATGAAACCAATGGGAATGGATCGTGCTCTCTCCAGCAAGGTAAGCATTTGGCTAATTAATTATGTTAATTAGCTGTAAGAGACGTTTAAACTGCTATTCACACTTGAATGCGCTTTTATTGTTTTGTATTAATATTGTTTTTCTTGCAGGTTCAGATTAAGATGTCTGTTCTATTTTTTTTCAGTGAAATACTTTTAATATGATCCATATTAGTTTTCTTTTCTCTGTGACATTACTAATCTTTCTCTCCATATATCTATGTGTGTACATTTGTTCATAGTACATTAAATGATAAAATATTTATGAATTTTAAAACAAAACAAACAAAACAATTCGTGGAACATGTAAATGATATATACCTACGTATATAAGTGTCAAGTTTCAAGGAAGTGACCGTAACAAATTCAAAATTAGAACATGGGAAATTAAATTTATCACGTGAATTACATGTCGCATTGTTAAAACATACTATATACAAACATGTAGGTTTCAGACCTTTACTTCCGGGTGTAATATGATTCAGTGTTGTAAGTTAGATCCACTTTAGGCGTCCAGAACATTCCGTACCACTCGATATATAACAGGAAACATATATACTCAATATTTAGTCTTAAAAGAAGGTATAGTACCATAAATATAAGGACAATTTTCCCAAAATTTCATTCTCCCCCCCCCCCAACACTTTTATCTCTCTAGTTAAACTGAATGCCTGTCCAGAAAATATATGAACTAGAGGATTTCTCTATCGTCTGCCATGCTCTCTGAGTTACTATAGATAGGCGTATCATGATTAACGCGATAGAAAAATCCCCCATCAATTTTAAAGCATTTTGATTAGTGACAAGGTGTATAACCATTCCAGGAATTTTACTGATGTTTCGTAATATAACCTGCTGATAAGGAGGAATGGGAAAAATCGAGAAAAACCCCAAAACATAAAATAAAAAAAACAAAAAACAAAGAAACAAATCAGTTTTCAACTTTCTTGTCTTCTGAACAGATTTTAGGAAGAACAACTTTGTTCTCCCAGCTCAAAATTTGATTCGCTGAAACACCTAAAGCTATCCTAACAGCCGTTGAAGACACCAACGATTACTCACGAGCGGTGTTTTGTCAGTTTCCGACCCGGAACAATCTAAACACGGACTTTCTATGTAACCTGACACCAGAGTGTATCTATATCAAGGCTAACAAATTGTTTTTCAGTACCCCTCGCGCATTCCTAAAAATAGCCCCCCACTTCGGCTGCTGTTCCTACCAATGGAAGTATGCGTTGCAGACGAAACTATCAGGTTACGACTTGTTTCGTTTCGTCGGTTTTTTTTATTCATTCTTATTTCGTTTTTCTGATAACCGGGTTTCTGCTATCTGATATTCCTTCTAAAAGATAAAAATAGTCCTGTAATTAACGGGGTACCAAGGAAGGGCACTTATTTCTCTAATAAATTCTTCAAATATTTCATACTCAGCACTTTCCGTGTGCACGCATGCAATGAGGTATTTTTAGATCTACATGTATGTGTACCAAATAGGGGACCGACACTGATTCTCTCTTTCACTGCAGACATTTTTCTTTTAAATTTATGATTTTTCAAACGTTAATAAAGTATAATTATTTCACTTAGTATTTTTTCATTAATAACTCCATGAGTCATCAATCTGGGTCATTGTGTATCACATCCGGACACAACATACTCTATAGTTCTACAACCAGTTATAAAATTATCTTAATTACTCATCAACTCAGCTAGTACTTCACAGTACAATTAATTTTTATACTATATGTAAGTAATCCAACACTACACGCTGCAAAGGAAATGTATGGTTGACGTAGTCTTGCAGTTTATTTATTGTTTAAGCATAAATATAAACAATGGTAATTTGTTTTGATTTTCTTAAATGTCAGTGTTAACTTCCCTAGATTAAAGCTACAGGTGATTTAAACATAGATAAATTCCGTATTCTCTGTTGTATTGAATTTTATATTTGACTCGTTATTAATTATATTACCACAGTCGTAATATCTGTATTCACACACAAAATGAATTTTAAGATGAAATATTTATCAATTTTAAACATTTACCTCAATTCATAAAGAACATTCTGTATCATATGAAATAGAAGTCCTTTAAACATGAACACGTTTTCATTTTTTTTAGTTTTCTTTATTTCTGTATTTGTCGCTTTGTTTGTTTATTTAAAACGCCATGACGTCAAACTAGTACCAGGTTAGTTTGTGATGTCACGTGTTTAAAATTTACACTTATTAAAATTATTAATCGTATTTAGACTAATAATGATAAATCTGTCGTACTACAAGGATCAAATGTTGAGCTGTCGTCGTCACTTCAGGCATTATGACGTCATAGTATTAAGTAACTCACTTCGTACAAATAGTCTTATTGTTTACATTTCTATCTAAGCATAAACATATTATTAATTGATTTAACAGCTAATTATCTCACCAATAATCCCCACACTTTTAAACAACAACATGACAGTTTGGCAAGTATTTTTCTATATACCCCTCTTTAGTTTGTCCACGAATTCATTGCTCTGACACTCTTCATCATAAGAACATCGTTATCTGCCTAACTGGGGTATGGCATGATTAGGCTGGGTTCAATGCGGCGACGTTCAAGTTAAAACTTATCATAAGTATACCTTGTTAAACAAATGGTGCCATTCTCTTCTTCTGACTTTAATGAAAGCGAGGATACAATTTCCCAAACTTACAAACAAATCCCCAACTGTGTCCCAAAATATTATTATATATAGCAGAATATTAAATTATAGGATCTCTCATTATATTGTATTCCACATACGATATTACTAATATATTAAATAATACTTGTGGCCAAGGTAATTTGGTCGCGAATTCTTCATTAGAACATGGTTATGCTTTCCTTATTTTTTTGTCTTTTTAAAACTTTGACTTTGAAAAGATTATCTTTGAGAAAAACTTTAAACCATTACTCTAATGAAAAAAAGAAAGAAAACACAACCAAACAATTCTAAGTTCTTTGAATAAGACCTATCCTCTTGATGATAATTCATCTGAGCTAATAACTGTTACGTGTCTTTAAATCTGCAAACACATCGTTTCTTGCGTCTCACAGAAAGAAAAAAATATCTTCTATCATGGTGCTTTATCTGTAACATCAACCTCGCTTTGATGTTAAAACAGATATCTTTTAGACTGATCACTATTCTAGATAAAAGTTACTCTTTCTGTTGCTATGGCAACACCCCATCGGTAAGCATCGTAATGCCATGCCAACTGTACATGCTGTATGTATATCTAGGTAATACATGCCAGCAGTGGGCTGTCAGATGTAGTTTGTAAACCTTTCTTACCTGGGATCATAAGCGAGGCGCAATTGGGGAAATTAAAAGCTTGTATATTTTTGAACTAGTCTGTATTTTTGCATTAATCTTGAAAATGATAAGAACATGTAAAATACGTCGATGATGATCTCAATATATACAGATTGTATCGTGATATTTATGTCAGTAATAACAAACCTTAGGTTGCCCCTGTAATCAGTGTTTATTAACGAGAAACAGTGTTTGTAGGTAGAGATAATAAACACATACAGTGCCCAAGATTTTGGCATCTCTCTACATCACGGTTATAGATATACCACAATCTGGAAACTTCTGTTAATGATAGAAACAATAGCAATTAGTGTTTTCTCGTCCTACATCGGACGCCAACAACTGGTACCATTCATTGTTATGTATAACATGTCCACAGAAAGCAACAACAGATCGTATGATCAGCACTCTTTGCAATTGATACCAAATTACTGCATTGTGTATACCACAGAGTCTTACACACTTACCTTTGGTGATACAAGTTATCATCCTGTAATATAAGACAGGACTTTGACATTGGCCCAAGGTCATGGCTCCTATAAACGTAATAAAGTCCGTTTCTGATTCAGTATGTATATTATATGATCAATCTTTATCAACCATACCTATATTTTTTCACGGAAACATTCAGCATACAATTAAATAAATACAGTAACATTTAGGATTATGTAAACAATGTTTGGTAAGAAATTAAGTTTATACATGAAAAGATATAAATAAGTTTGCATTTCCCTGACGTCATCAACACGTCATCACCCTATCCTACTCGACCAGATCTCTCGACCTGTTGTCACCCAATGTTTAATTCAATTTGGCTTTGTTTGATGTCGAGAGATAATCTAACCAGACGCGATATTTTTGCTGTAATTAGTTAGTGGGAGGTTGGAGATATTCTGAGATACCCGGATAAAACTGTTCAGCTGAAATAAATTCCTGTCCCTCAATATAGCCCCCCTCCGTCGTTTATAATGTTTTAGTGTCTTATATCCTTCAAATTTGACTGTTTTTGAGATTGATGTCGATTATCACAACTGATTTCACCTGAAATTTTTTTAGATAGATTATCATTCAATTTCCTCTGCCATTCTATAAATAGATTATCAATTAATTTCCACTGCCATTCTATAAATAGATTATCAATTAATTTCCACTGCCATTCTATAAATAGATTATCAATTAATTTCCACTGCCATTCTATAAATAGATTATCAATTAATTTTCTCGGCAATTCTATAAATAGATAATCCATTAATTTCCTCTACCATTCTATAAATATATTATCAATTATTTTCCTCTGCCATTCTATAAATAGATTATCAATTAATTTCTTCTGATATTCTATAAATAGAGATGATTGGAATACATGCTGATGGTTTTTGTTAATCTGTCTTCCGCGATATAATAACATGATTATTCTAGAATATCATGGAACGACATAACTTGTATCAACATGTCATAAACATGTCGATATCACTGGGTCTTCTAAACATTGGTAAAAATCTATATCAAATCAAATTAATAACACGGTCACTTTTCAATTTCTATGATTTTAAGTACGAAAGATTTTTTTCCATACAAACAAACGATTACTGGCCACTATTAACACAAGGGTATAAAATATTTGGCCCTTCGACAGTCTCACACACACAAGTTGTTGAGACGTGGTTAAAGCATTAAGAGAAATGCCCCCCCCCCCCCCCCCCCATTTTTCTTTTGATTGAATACACGTGTGATACATAATCAGGAATTATACACTCAATTATCTGCCACGCGCCAGAGTCACTAGCACACGTGTCGGTGGGCGATAACAACTGTGGTCGTACTTTACAGCAAATTGACAACACGTGACAGCACACCCCACAGGTTGTCTATAGTGTAAACATACCTTCTTGTACACAGCAAGGTCAAGGTTATTCATCTCACAATAAACACAACACACATTTATGCAAGCTTGCATATTTACATTGATAGTATATGAAATCACATTGTAGTTACATAACTAAGATAATTTATGCAGTGAACAAGTTGACGTGATGGGACGTAAAGTCGTCTACAGAACTGCTGCTTGCGCTGATAGCTGCTTCGTTGTGTGCTATGAAAACACAAAATAATGTTTTACAGTCGTTTAATACTATTCATGCTGAGCCAACTCTCTGTATATTTTCGTCATTAGACCAATTCAAAATTGATCTGTATTAAAAGTAAAATTAAGGCAAATGTCACACTATTGGCTGCCAGGGATATATGTCACAAAGCCGCCTAGTTTGAGTGGTGCAGGTTTTATGCATCAATATATTCGGACTAGGGAAACACCACAACCTGATGGTGACGATTTTGTTTAAACAAGTTGGCTCTCCTGATGCTAAACACGTGTGTTTCTATGTCGTTACATATGGTTGTATAATTCTTGTGCTGTCTGTTTTGTTGTTCAATTTAGCTCTTACTCATTTGTTTGAAGGGAGTTCTATAACATTTTTCTTATCATTTCGTTTCGGAGAATACAAAATACTAGTGTTCTGTCTATAATTCGCCCAGTGTTGTATTTTTGTCAATGTTTAGTCTTCAACAAATCTAAATGGATTGGTTTCAATATTCCGCGAGTTTAGATATAATCATATTTTATTATTTTTTGATCGGAACTTATTAACATTTTACTGAATACTTCATTAGGAGAGATCGAGACCATCAGATTGAATATAAGTTTCACTGCTCTCACTTGGGAACGTGACATTACTTACTTTCTTTGCTCGACAAAGGGTTACATGGTGGGTGTCGTCGATGAAGCAGAGGACGCTTACCCTTTCGTAGAACCTGGTTTTATTCACTCTGTACGCGTTCACGAGTTACCGTCGAAATATTTTGCCCTACTTTAAGCATATTTGAGTTTGAATCAAAATTCTGTTGATACGTCGGTATTTTTCTTTGTTCATGTAACAAAAGCATTGATTCAGTAAGGAAATCGTAACAATTAGGAGGTACACCAGAACAAAGTCCGTCATTGTTATGCTATCCGTGTTGTCGACTGTTTGATAGCTTTATGTGCATGTAGAGTTTACTTTGTAGCAGAGGCAAGTCAGAAAAATCAGAAATTTAACAACACATGCGCCATTAACGTTATCAAAGACATTCAATATTACTTTCTATTCAGATTTTTTTTCTTAAAAATATAAAAATGGGATAAAACAACATCGTTACACTTGAAAAATTATTCGTTTGTGAGATAAAATTTTTTCTGACTTGCACTAAAGGCTAGATTTGTTTAAAGTTCGCAGTCATAATATCATTGTTTTAGAAAGATGTTTGCCTCTCATCTTTTCTCCATTGTCTTCTTACTCTTTTCTCTTTTTTCTTCTGACGAAATGCTATCAATGTGAACTATGGACGTACATTGCATGGTAGCTTACTTATGTCTGATAATGTCGCTGTTTGCTTTTGATGTTTTATGTGCTTTTTACAGGAAACACAGGTTCTATACGCGATTAAAATTATCAAACAGAAGGTAACAAAGTGTATTTAGCCCCTCCTTGATCCACAATATCCTGACGAAGACGTTGTAACGTTCACCCGCCCTCAATCAAATCCAGCCCCAAGTTTGTGATTTTTACGATGATATCTATATATTCAACCATATCCCCGTGGCTTCGATCAATTAAATCCAAACCATATTTTTTTATTTTGTATTCTTGATTGAGTAGAGAGGCCTTTTTTATTCCTCACAGAATCCTAGTCAAGCACCTCAGTTGTTCAGAGGAGCCACGATTTAACATCCTTTTATTGATGTTCTCCATGATATGATGCCAACAATTGCCGGTACATAAAGATGACATACTAATTATGTACGGCAGTTGTACCAATTAGAGTGATCCCCCTTTACCGAGATCTTTTGTATGCCTTCTTACAGTTTACAATGTCATAACATTTCCTTATTAACTGACAGTCTGACGAATATTCTAAATTTTGATCTTTGTAAGTAATGCTGTCATATATCCTGACACTACCGTTCTCTGGAATGGATGGTGCATGGTTGTCAATGCTTATGAACTATTTTATGCACTTTTTTATGGAATTTTCAATGTTAACATTTGATAAATTCGTATTTCTGTCACCACGACATTTATGATCAATAATCACTTAGATATTAGTTGTCAGATAACTGGCACAGTCATTTGCTGCTAATGTAATTTCCAGCCATGTCCTTTATAAATCCAAATCCGCCAATATCTTGATCCTGATTTGTCCTCTTGTTTTGTGTGTTGTGTTACCAGTCCTCATTGGCCGGTTGTGCAATGTTGAAAGACTCCGAGCTTTTGATATAGACGTGTCTGTAAGATACAATATCAGGCTGCAATGGTGCCATCCTTTTGATTGTATTTTAAATACAATTGCATGTTCCAGATAAAATAATAAACGGTGCAACCATAAAGGCCAATTTCATTGTTGTCAAACTGTGCGAGCATGTCTTTTACTAACATAAGTGTATTTCACATGTGCTTTATACATAATTAATTTCCAGACTTAACGTATGTATGAAATCTATATTATCTTGCGTGTTTCATCTTCACTGTCTAAGGGCTTTTATGTAGAATATATACAGCTTTAAATGTGCTTTAAAACACGTTCACGACAATATCTTCAAAAATGTATAAAAATTGCATATTGTGGTCAAATGAAATTATGTTCAAATTAATGTTTTACCAAATTATTCAAAAATTTTTGGGATAAAGTCGAAATCTTATCATATATAATGGAATGGAGTGATTTTGTTTTATTTTGTTGTGGACATGTTGTAATATTGATAATAAATATTACATCTTATTACTGTTTACATGTGTAAATGTTATTCTGTTTGTTCAATAATCGTAAATAACAACAAAGCTATGTTATGTGAGACTGGTGTTGATAATGTATCGTATTCTTTCGCTTTTATCTCTTATGCAGAACATGTTTCATGTAATAAAAGCTAATCATTTCATGAAGGCTTGAAATACGATTGCAATTGAAATAATTAATTTTCACGATAAATGTGACGAATAATTTACATAAAATAAGTCATAATATAAAAGAAGATTGATTGCAATGGTATTTAAGTGATCAATGATTTAACCTTGCTTTTCGATGCTTTCACTGTGGAGATAACTGGGTCAGCTTCGTTTTCAGCGGTTGAAGCCATTTTGTTGTATTTTTTGCCAGTGTTTAAAAGTTACGTATACGTGTACACATGTTTGATACATTTGTGTGTATGTGTACAACTTTTACGCTTACACAATCAGATAATCATTTGATCGATGTTTTTAATTCGTATGACGTAGAAGCCACAAAATCTTCAAAATCAAACTTGCTGAAATAAAACAAAATTCTTTATTTTTTCATAATACAAATTAAATATAAAACAAATTCGGCACAATTTTTGACCCAGTCATGTCTGTTTTTAACTGAATGTTTTCATTGCATCCTTGTTTCAGTAATTAAAAATTTCACAAATTCTTCAAAAAGCACAAACTGATCACGCGTTGCTATAAAATACGATAGCAGAAATGTTGTAATGAGATTAAGTTTTGAAATTTATCCAAATTTTTAAAGTGATTTTTGATACTGAGACAGGGATATTGCTCAGAAAGTTCTTTTTCACATCTTTCAGATGGTTATCTCACTGTCTGAGAAGACAAGGCTATTTATAGACACCCGATGTATAGCTTTAGGATGGCTAGTCATGCATTGATGATTCTAGAGAGAGACCGAACTATCGTGTAGGTTTTTATCATCTATGTACGAACAAAGAATATTATTTATTTGTGTAGTTATGTCTACGTATACAGGTACCTGTTAATATATCGCACTTAATAGACAGCCATCATACACCCAGCTGCTATAAGAGAAATACCTCCTTACATATAAACACAATTAAAAATGTTATTTAATGGTGGACACGACCTAACCATTTCATTTCAGCTAATATTATTATTTTAGTTTTGTTCTCGCTGTGTTATCGTTCTTGGATTGTGACAATTGAGTTATCGTTCGTTTTGATGGTTTACTAAATCCTGTTTGTATGATGATAATTATATCATGATATTCCTTATAATCTTTTAAAGAATGATTTCTCTCGTTTATTGCTTTATGTGTATTCATTGTTGATGGCTTTAAGTTATTTGACTGTTATTTCATTTCACATTTTCACATGTTTTACTAATATTTCGTTCGTATGTTTATTAATATGTCACTGAACATGAACCAGGTTTGCAAATTGCACTTAGATTATAGAAGTCCATCCTGACCACCAAACAATGATAAGCCAACGTGACCAGTACCTACCCATTAATTAGACGAAAATAACTTCAAAAATGTTTACCCCTTCTTTTCTAATTGTTTAGCAAAAACTTTTTTGCACATGCTTTTCAAAAACAAATTATTTGCATATAGCTAAACATTTTTCTCACATGTCCCCAGTTAATGGTTAGAGTTCAGGACACGTGGGAATTCAGTATATAAGTCATTTGTGTTGAGAAGGATACCCTGTATTAACCTGTGTCTCTGTGGTACTATTCTACTGACAGGCTTCTGAAAAGGTTGTTGAACGCCAGAATTCAAGACGAAATTTATCAACAGTTTCCCTCCACCGAGATATGTCTGCTTCGAAAAGGGTATTTGCCTGATGCGCGCATCACGCATGTGCAATACTCTCTATATATGAGTAGTTTATCACATAGGAAACCGGAAACCAAAATGACGTCACAAAATGTGCTTTTGGTGCGGTATTTTAGTAGCTAGAGTGAGTGTAGATAAACACTTCAATCTTGATTACGTAGGTCTGGAAAAAGCATGTTTCCTGTAGGGTGTCTTATAGATACCAGAATTAGAGTAGAAACAGGATTGATCCTAGCGTTGGTTAGTAAGATTTGTCGTTATAGAGATTATCTCAGAAACAAAAGATAGACTAGAGTTTTAATCAGACAAATATATGGTTGTAAGTTCATCCTTTTTCTAATAAAGAACATTCAACACATGATTTGATACAACCGAACAAAAGTCACACTAGTTAACGTAAACACGTTCATTTCAATGTAATTTATAAGATATAAATACATTTTAAAATTTATACCTTCGCACTTGAAAGACCTGGTCAATAGATATTTTAGAAATTGCACGATTTAACACAGATCCTGCATGTTTCCGATATTGAAAGTGTAGCATAGCAAGCTTATATCTCAGTTCTGATCAGGAGCTCTAGAAGTTTACCAAATTGCTTGAGTGGGAGCCTATCTTGTTTATTCATCAAAACAGCTGCCCATCAACTAGTGCGTAAAATTCCTGAGTTATGACGTCATTGCTGATTTATAATGCACCTCTATGGTAGTGACTCATCTGTGTTTGACGGTCTATATAAATACTGGTAGTCGTCTTCAAGTGTGGAAACGTTCACCAAGCATAGTCGGGATTCCTTTGGTAATTTGGGAATTTTTCTATTACACTCCTGCCAATAGAAGAGTTAGTTATTAAAGAGATAATTTCGGGAAGGCTCAAATTCCACATACAAATAAATTATAAATCGTTCTGGTTAGAAACGACTGGTAAAGAAGTTTTATTTATCCTGGCCGAAGAAAATAAAGAAAAGACGTACGATGATAGATAATTCAAAATTCATATCTGTTTCACATTTTGAATTTTCACAAAATTTAACCTGATACGTTGTAGTGGGGTATATATAAATGTTATTTACAGTTTGTAACATTTATGTTCCAAGATCATTTTAGATTATATGCACAAAGTAAATTATATATAATGTATTATTATTTCTAGTGCTATATCATTATCTCCACTCACCCACATTATATTTCTTTTTATTTCATACTATGATGCCTTATAACCCTTTATTGATATGCTGTATAATATACATTCATATACCTTTCTCATTTGTAGTAACCATAGTAATGTTTAGTGCATAACCTCTGTACCACGCCATTTTGTACCCATACAATAATGTAGTACTCACACTAGTAAATCAAAATCCATCTTGCACGCACAATAGTATCATATAATTAATATCACCATACTCACATCTGGACTAGTATAGCGCTTAACTACTATGCAACATTATAATGACTAGCCTAGGTAGCTAACCCTGCTACTGATTACTACAATTAACTTTATGTTCGTAAATTCGTCCAGATATCGCTGTATTTTAAATTGGCTGAGAAATAATTGCGAAATAAATTCTTATCAAATATACTTTTTAAAACATGCATGGGATATATGATTCTTCGGTTGAACATTACTCAGAGAGAAAAGGTGATTTTAGTAAGATGGAACATACCGCATGTTACATTGTCAAGCAAGTTTATCAGAAGAAATATTTTTCAAGTATCATCATGTCATAAAATATAACTTCATTACAATTTGAGTTTTTCGTTTATTGCCTCCACTGATTTGTTTGCTGCTTCAGAAGAAATGTTTTGGCTGATATTGTTAAATGTTTACATGTTGATCGTATTTGCTTATTCATTATCATTATTGTGTGTTCTAAATTTTACCTCTTTAAAGGAAACTGATTTTGAATGGAGGCACAAACTGTTTCCGAATTCATTCACTATATAAGACGTTGTATATCGCTGCACGAGGCTTACCACTAATATCCCTTATCGTACAAAATACTCGGAATTCTGTACGGCTTTGGATTTATTTCTTACTTGTTTTGAAATACACAATACAGAAAGTAAATTGATGTGCGAAATACAGATATTCTCTCGAACATTCGTTTTTATTTCGCGAAAGTATAGCTGCTTCTTACTCTCACCCATCATATCAACAAGATGTCTCCTCCTTTCCATCCACACAAGGCACCTCTGTAAATACCTGGCTTCGAGCCAAATAATCTCCCACACCGCGCTACATTGTTATCAGTGGGGCAGAAACAGTAGCCTAGCTCCAGACTGTGGGCCTGCCAAATATAGGCCCTCCCCACTCGTCTAAAGATGAGCTGGCCAGGTGATTCTCCATATCACCTTCTGTTTATATTCATGTGGAAAGTCTGTAGCGTCTTTCTATGTAAATAGTTTGAAACAATATGATCAGACTCGCGGAACACAGGAGCAAGATTATGTTAAAATATCATATACAGATATTGAATATTGATGTTTATGATTATGACCAGCGTAAGTGTAGATGTATTTATATTATTCAAATAATTTTTAACCTGTCTAGAAATTGCACTGAATATGGTTTGTGTGCTTCATTGATATGGAACTGGATTGTAGCTATAGCAACTCTTCTCCATCAAAGTTATTGTGATAAATATTAAAGGTCGGATTAGAAAGAGCTAAACCTTGTATTTATATGTAATATTTCAGATTAATTTCAACAATATTTGAAATATCCATATAAATGACGTTCTCTTTGTGCACATCCGATGATTTCATTATCAAATGTTAAGTTATGATGAAAGTTATTATACTAATATTTTATAGTATCATCAAAGATGATATGAGATGAAAACTCAACCGACAAATCTCAGAATATATAAAAGGTGTCTTATTTACGAAGAAATAAGTCACCTTTTACATATCTAGACATTTTGATATTAATGGTTTAAAAGACTTACAACACCTGATCATATTTCAATCATTAGTTCTATTGGTTTAATACCACCATGCTTCTTTAATTCATTGTATACAGTCCTTGTTGCATATTCGCTTTGATAACATGAATTGGATATGTTTAACACTACCAATTACATTGTTGGCAAATATGGTTGCCAAAGTGAATGTGATGTAACTATCAATATATGCACTATTGATAAATTGAAAAGCAGTAATATCAACAGGTATTCAGCTTGATAAAAACAACAAATAGTCGTTATCGTGTCAAGCAAAATGAAAGGAAGAACAGCACAATGTATCAAGTTATTTGTTTAAGTCAGCCAAATGTCATGTATCTAAATCTGAAAAAGAAAACACTAACTTTGCTATTTCTTCGTTTTATAGTTGGGAGCTAAGTACGATAGTGCGTCAGAAGCAGAAGTCAGAATCTGGATTCAGGAACTGACCGGGGAAGACATTGGACAAGGTCCAGCCAATGTTGAAAAAAGCTTAAAGAACGGCATTATACTCAACAAGTATGTATTGTCCTGTTACCACACCTATTCTCATTATGTTTCACCGCAGTTCAGGTCATGGTTGTTTTATTAATTTATTTTTTTGTTCTGTTTTTCGAGATCGAGGCAAATGTTGTCATGGAAAACAAATAAAGGATGATTTGAAACAGAAATACATGTCTTATTTATAAGTATCCGGTGGTTTAGAAAAAGGATTGATGCTGTAAACCCTGACGCCATAATAAAGCACGTGTCCTTAATGTTCTTTTACATTTATCAAATATATAAAAAAAATACTAAACGTATGGAGCTAGTACATCTTCCAATATATATTTTGACTTTTTTTCCGACCAGTTTTTATTTTGCTTGGTAAACTTTCATGGTTTCCGCATATGGGCCCTATGCATCCCTCATGAGTCATAGGAAGACGAAACAGCCGTGCGATGCAATTTGATTCATTATATTTTTTATTTCATAATATCTTTCGAAATTTATATTGAGAGGTGCTCATCATTTGCGTTCCCTAGAAAATCTACCAGCCATGCGCAAGTTTTATTATTCAACTGTATGAATTTCACGAGTTGATGACCTTTAATATTTTTCGAGTTCCAACATAAATCTTACACAGGCATGTAGAAGGCATGTTTATATTAAGATTGCCAGTTATAATATATGATGAATTCGTTACTAATGCATAGTACTCATTTGAGGATGTGACATTACTTAGATTGGTCAAGATTATATGGTGTGTCGTCAATGAAGCAGAAGACGTTTAACCTTGCGGAAAACATGGTCTTGCAATTTGTTCATTGACCGCAGTGTTAATCTTTGCTTTATATTTTGTCTAAGTTCTATCAATTTGGCTTTTAAGTGAGGTTTTGTTGACACATCGGTGTTTCTTTTTTTCGTAACAATTGTATTAAGCATAGCTTTTATCTTATTCTTTTCCTTTTCAGATTACTGCAGAAACTATATGCAGGGACAGCAAATCTCCCCCCAGCGGCACAAAATTTCAAACCCTCATATTCGGAATCCGAACTTGCTTTCAAACAGGTATGCTAGAGATATTTGATTAAAGTTGCTTACTCTAATGTCAAAATGTGTTCAGATCACACTGGTAACATGATGATATAATAACAATAATTATAAAAATAAACATTCACGTTTTATAATCAACGTCCACTTTCTACATGTTCATCTTACTCATGTTGGACTATCTGTACTCTATATAAGTGGGACATTATCACAGGAAATGTGTCTACGTGTAGCAAGTACATTAGTACGTATTTAGCATTAATAGCAAAATCGTTTTTGAAAGGGCTTTTGATATCCGAAAATTGTGTCCACTTCCGGCATAAATTTCGCAGAAAAACATTTATTTCCCTTCATTCTTATCTTCTACATTTTACAACAGTTTCGTCGCATTTAATTCAATAAGTCGTAATAACAGATCGCGTTTCCACAACACTTAGAGTCTAAAAGGACGAAACATCTGCATGATGCAGTTAACCTCATTGTGGCGCTCTACTGTATCTGCTTCTTAATTGACATTGAAGGGTGTTTTTCACTTGTTTGTCTTTTTTGCAATTTTGCAACCTAAAGAAAACGTATATTTACATTACGTAAACCTATTAAAATAATATTCAATATATTTACAATGAATTAATGGCTTTGCAGATGGAAAACATAGAAAAATTCTTGAAAGGTGCAAAATGTTACGGATTGAAGGACAACAGCTTATTCCAGACAGTAGACTTGTACGAGGGTCGTAACATGGCTATGGTCATCGCCACAATCCTACAAGTCGGCACTGAGGTAGGTGAAATTCATCTTATCGGAATGCTTTCAGATCGTACTTATGTAGACTAACGGTGCATCGTAATATGTATGTGACTGCTTGCTAGTGTACTTTTCTGAAGACATCATTTGTGCAATTTTCCAAATAAACTTCACGCGAATAGGCCTATCCTTCTGGAACACCATTTCTAATTATTTCAGAATTCTCCTTGTAAATCTTACTAAAATGATCAAGTTTTCCTCATTTTACCGACTTAATGTTTGAATAATGATTTTGTTGACTTTTAGGTATTTTCTTTTTATCTTACTAAAGCAATTCATTCGGAATTCACCTAAACATCACAACCGAAAAGCTTGAAATTAGCGTCAAATCGAATGATTAAATAAAGGAAAATGATTTGTTTGAACTTATATCTAAAATATATAGGAAAATATTGGGAGATTGCACAAATGGAGATATAGAGGCTAATTAATAATAATACATATTTATCTTCCGCTTTTAATGATCATATCTCTCTTTTCTCTATGCAGTTTGCTTGGTTAATTTTCACATTTTCTTGTCTTCGGTCGTCAGCTTGCTTGAGCCGAATTTGTTGTCGTGCTTCCGTGCTTCTTCGTTCGTGCTTACGTGCTCTTGAATTCTTCATGTCATACTGTACGACGTGAGCATCCTTTTATGTGTAAGTACGTAGATAAAATAGTGGTCAGACTGTTCAATGGATTCACAGGGACGCCACAAGCGCAACAGAAAATAAATTGATATTGCAATCGTGATAAAAAAAAGAAAGAAAAAAAATATTTCGAATTTATTTATACAAAATATTTAAAACGAAATTTGTTCAAATAAGAAAAGATCAAAAGACACTTTTTAAGATGTCCATGATTACTATTTTGTACAACTTGAACAATCTGACCTTGATGCTAGCTTGTGTTTTCATTTTGCTCAGATTTCATCGGGAGTTTGTCCAAAGTGTATCACTATGCTTACCGTCATAGTGAGCAGTCAGTGGTTAAACTGTAGATTATATATCCATTTAAGTAGTAAACTTAACTGCATACATCTATATCCTTGTATAGCGTAATGTAGACTTAGGTAATTATGTGTACATCTGTGAGGTAACCTACACAGAAATATAGTGGGAGTATTAATGTCTAGACTTAACATAAATAACGAAAAACTAATTTTCAAATCGTGAATTCAGAGAAATAAAGATATGCCAAAACTATTTCGTTTATTATTTTTTCTGAAATCCAAATTAAAATAAATATAAAATAAAAAAAAAAACATGGACGCGGCACGCGTTCCCTTTGATAGCAGAGTAGAAGATGGGAAGCCCCCCGGCCCAGATACTGACCCCGATGAAATCGATCTTCTGCACGCACATGCCGCTTGTTCCAGTTGTACGTAACACTACGCCTAACCACAACCTCATCGGCCTTGTATCCATGTTACTACAAGGGAAGTCTTTGTTTACTTCTTGTAGGCCCAGAGGAATGGATTCAACGGCCCAACGGCTGGTTCAAAGCCGACCACCGCTCAGAAGAGAGATTTCTCCTATGAACAGCTCAAGTCTGGCCATGGAACCATTGGTCTTCAGAGCGGCTCAAACAAATTCGCTTCACAGAAAGGTATGACGTCCATGGGTGCTGTTCGTCACATTTCTGATATCCGTGCTGATGATCAGGTGGCTGAAGGTCAATCTATGCTCACTCTTCAAGCTGGAACCAACCGCTTTGCCAGCCAGAAGGGAATGTCCATGGGAGCTGTTCGTCACATCGCTGATATCAGAGCCGATCAGTTCGATCAGCGATCTGCCGCCGACATCAGTCTTCAGTCCGGTACTAACAAATTTGCTTCACAGAAGGGCATGACCTCAATGGGCGCTGTTCGTCACGTTTCCGATATTCGCGCTGACGACGCCTCTAAAGAAGGCCAGACGTTGATCCATCTGCAGTCGGGTACTAACCAGTTCGCTAGCCAGAAGGGTATGACATCCATGGGTGCTGTCCGCCATATCTCCGACATCAGAGCTGATGACTTATGCAGAGAAGCTTCATCAGCGGTTTCGCTTCAGTACGGTACCAACAGGTTCGACAGCCAGAAAGGAATGTATCCTATGGGTAGCCAGAGGCACGTGTCTGATATCCCAGTAAGAGATTTGGCCGAGGAATTGAGACCAAGATCATCATACATGGACACTGCTGAAGAAATGGATATGTGAACAACATAATATATAGATATTTATCAAAAGAAGAAATTGAATTCAATTTTCAAGAAAACACCAAAAGGAAATAAATGCTACTCATCAGTGGATGAGAAATTCTCTTTCGAAAGATAGAATGGTGCAGCAGAACACACTCTCACAATGCGCATTAGCTACGACCAACGGAAGCTACACAAACGACGTCGTTTGATTATGTGTCCAGTCACAAGATATCTTCGTGTACACATCTACGCAATGTTTGCTATTGTTGGCTTTATCTGTCGAGCTCTGTACGGAACATTGGACCTCATCAATACTCTCCCGTTCCTATATTAAAAAATCGACCCGCACATCTACCCCCGAAATCAAACACAGAACCTCAATAACCTCTCCTGCTGTCCCCTTAGAGACTCACTCTTTACATCAGTCTTCTGGATCTTTGCGTCTCTTTTTTCCGGATCTGGATTCTATAGATGCTCTTCCTCCCGTCCTGGATTGTTGTAATGCCACTTTATCTGTAGGACCCTGTTCCGTTAAAAACGCCAGTGCATCTGCTATCCCCCCTTTGATTCTGCTACAGACATTGTCAGTGACGCGTCAGGGACAGAGACCTCTAGCGGATCAAGGGGGAGATTACTCACTGTGTATCAAAGATGTGAAAATTCTTTCATTTAAATATATAGTGTTAGGTGGTGCAATTTAACAGCGATGAGAACGAACGAGGATAATTACTTGTAAAATATGTAAAATTGGTTCATTCAAATCCGTTCAAGATCTAATGAAATCTTAATTAATTTTTTACATTTTTACATATATTCTATTATAATTTATTTATGTGTCAACGTGGCTGTGTTTGTGAATAAAGAAAATGTACATGTTTGAATAGTCGTTCGGTTGTTGTATGTGTCTACAATAGATAGATATTATCTGCTGTAACATAAAAACGACATGTGCATGAATTGACCAATATTGCACAACAGAGATTGCCTCAGATTGAAGACATCAGCATTCTACTTCTGAAATGGAGGAGCAAATCAATCGAGACGCTATGATATATCCACCATCACTTTGGAACGGTTTTTTTACGCTGTACGGTAACAAGTGTTTTTTAAAGCCTCCCGAAATCCGCCGTTAGTTCGGTTATTTTGTAACAGTTCAAATGTCGCTCTTTCTGTATATTTTTATTTTACGATATTCACAGACGCTTTAATTAAAAATTTGTTGCTTTGTGAAATATAATTATCATTGACAATCCATTACACGGAGAATGTAGTATTGTATTGAAGTGTAAACATTTTCAGGAGAATTTATTTCTATAGCACTATCGCTGATGATTAAGCGTGAGTTTTCAAGTTATGAAGAATCCCAGATGAAGATCTAGAACGTCAGGTATGAATTCGTTACGATGTTTGATAAAACTGAACTTACACAATGTGAACGCGTTTTTATTCAATTTTCTTTATTACTTTCAATATTTCATTTGATAAATGTATGTTTTTATTTGCTTACTAGGTCATTACGAAACATAAATTAGCAAACACTTTTAATTAAAGGCAAAAAATGCACATTTAATAATTCTAAATATAACTTCTATATATATATATATGTATGATCTAATGTACGGTGTCGTTAGCCGCTGGTCGCTTTTACATATCCTCTTGTCGCTAATAAGTATGTTAATATCTATACAACATATACTAATATACGGGGTATTTCAATCAACATAAAAGTTTTACGATATTTTGATATTTGGAATTTTAATTATGTGAAATCAATAAGACGTTTATTTCAAATTCTGATTTTGTATTTAATATGTTGTCATCATAAGACTTTTCAATCACAAATATCATAATGTATTTTATACTTATTTATTTTGGTTTTATATATAGATCTATTTCCAAAAACAATCATACAATCTTTTCAGCAAAATACATTTGAACTTTCGTCTTTTCTATTTTATGATGATTTCTGATAAACTTTACAACATTAAACGGTCTGCGCAAATGGTGTTTAAGTAAACAATTATTTCGTTTCGTTTCCCAAAAGATTTTTTTGAACAAACTCTTCGGGTAGTTGGCAACAGAATTGTAAGCCGTATAAGCCCCATGCCTAAACAATCATTATCTGCTTCTGAATTAAACCAACACATCGATTGGTGTTGAACTCATGTTAACAAAACTATATTAAAAGCACCACATGGTGTCAAATTTAAATATGTATAGAGGCATGCGCACGAGCAATAACAAAAGAGAATGTTAACATATGATCGCTAGTCCACGTAGCTTTCAATGGTGTACGACACAATATGTAAATGACATGCAAATAGCTTAGATTACATATATAATACATTCATAATCTACAATGTTTTTATATTACAGTGTATTTCTTTGATCTCAATTTTCATGAATAACTACAAACAATAACAAGTTTTCAGTAAGGTTAAATTGTTTCAATATTTGATTTTTTTCTGATTTTTACAATTTAACATTTTCGTCTCAAGACAATATAATCATTTTCTTGTGATATTATCACCTAAACGATACAATAAGATAAATGTCCTGTAAGAAACAGCACCATGGCGTGGAAATGATAGAAATTCCTATATGATTATCTCGGTGTTATATATCACAATCTTACTAGATACGTATATATGATACGCCCTATGATAAGCAGCTTTCAATAATAATTAGAATTATTAGATATGGTAGAGTCGAATAATGAACAAAACTTCTAGAACTTGTCAGTGATGTCAAGGACCTAAATCTAGAGGACGCCTGAGAGGCGACCGAGGAACATCCAGAGTGATCAAAATAT